TTCTATAAAAAATTACATAATTGCATACTAAGTCTACATTTATGCCTATTTTAATCTGACGTATCGTTTTTGTAAAATTTCTTGTATGTCTATTTGGTCAGGGGGTTTAGAGGATATTCACATCTTCTGTTCGGCTCTCATCCCATACTGTCTTCTCGGCACCCTCTGGCCATTCCCTAATTTGTGATATTTTTGTACCACACATGTAATAAATAAATAAACAAATAAATAAATAAATACGATTTCGGTGCAGAAAAGTATGCTAAATAATAATAGCCTTTATAAAAAAATTTTCAATGTGTTCTGCCTAAAATTGTTTAAAATTTATATAAAAGACACACAATTACTTAATGGGCCAAAAAAAAATGTTTTTTTATTATTTGACCTAAACAACAAGCAGCTTTAAATCACGTTTGAGAACTTATAAGAAGCACATGCTGATCATTACACTCGAACACATGTTGAAGAAGGAAATATTTGTAACAGGAACAACATCACGTGAAATATAAATTTCAGAATTTACAAGGTCAAAAGTAGAAAAATGATTATGTTAAACTACAAAACAACTTTAAAAACAAATATTCAATCCTGGGTTCAAATTCTGCATAGAATAGAAACTATTGTAGGTAGCATATATTTTTCTAACTAAAAAATATCTGTTCCTAAAAAAAAGTAATGTAATGAAACTTAACTTTCTGTTGGGTCCAATACCTGGGGAAAATAAATTACAACTCCTAATAAAGATGGAACAGTATAATTATTTATTAATATACTTCCTTATTTATAATCATTATTATTATTCCTTATAATTATCAGATGCCTTCAAGAAAAAAATACCTATTACTTAAACATTCTTCTGATGGCGGTCAGAATATACTCAGTGAAATGATGAGACAATTAACAACCAAAACCTCTTACAGAACCAACTTTAAAAACACATTGAGTGCTAGAAGTTAAGAATGAAATTTATAAATTAAAATTTATATCAAATAATAAAAGAAAAAAAGAAAAATTTAAAAAGAATCTTAATAAAAAGTAAAGAAACTTACAACATAAATAGTGTTGGCCCAGTTGCAACCTACGACACACGATAACACACAAAATGAAACATACTACTTTCTGCAATCGTTCTTATAAAGTGAGTGATGTGGGAGAATTATCTCGAATAAAAACCCAACAATAAAACATAATCACCTCATTGGCTTAGTGCCAGATTGGAAAACCCCAGGTGTACCAAATTAGCATAAACTACAGTATTGGTAAAATTCCATTCCATATTCACATTATCATATGTAGGAAATACTTCTTTGTATCTTTAGTGACTAAATTTGTCACTATTTGCACTTTAAGTAAATGACAATATCACAATAGCACCCCTGGATCTTCATGGATATTGGTACTTTACAAATGTTGCTCGATTGATTGATTGATATGTGAAGTTATCACAGCAATTTCATTCTACGGTACATAGAACAAGTATTGAGGCTTTTGTCCAACATATTGCAACTATAGTAGGCCCTATTCTTCCTTGATACTGTTATGCAGAAGAAAACCTAAACGATCCTAAACGATTAAAATGTAGACTATGAACCCTTTCTCCATTAAAGATTCTCAAAAAGCCCAAAATTGATTTATAATTAGGCTTAAAAACCTTTCAGATGCAGAAGCATCCTAATTTGGTCTTGTCTCAGTAGATCAAACATTATTTCATTGTTACACTGTCTCTGTATTAGTTGAAAAATGTTTGCAGGTTTCTCTTAAATATTTATGGTCAATATATAGAGATATATGACCTTAAATCACATTACAATGAGGAAACTTTATGACTGGGCTTGGAGTGATGTTACTATATATAAACATGAAGAGGTCTATAGTACAGATTTTGACCTCCGTTATGTCCACTTTCACTACAACAAGTACCATAAACAGAACGATCCGCTGTAGATAATTTTCCAAGAATCATTCAGTTTAGTTTAACTGGTTAGTAATCAAGTTAGCTTTTTTTTTTTTCGGAGGGAGGAGTAATGGTTAACTTTGTTTTGGATAAAGAAGCAGATAAAGTTATGTAATGCTGAGAAAGAGAGGGGATAAAATTTTGTAATGTTCAGTGATGTGGTAATGTTCAGTGAAGGGGTATTGTTCAAATGATGGGATAAAGTATAGGGTCCACATAATTTCCTTTTTTTCGTTTAGGATCAGAGTCATCTTCATTTGTTTGTTAATGTGTACAGTAAATCCAAACTATTATTATTACTATTGTTTACTGGTAGGTTGTTCATAATTATCATTAACCTGTGGCATTGCCTTCATTGATGTTGTAGCCAAGGAGTTGGTATGGTAACTGACGATCAGTAACCAGCAGATGTATTCAATATAGAAGGACACTTTTGAACACAAATGTTGGCACGGACCGGCATGCACCATCATCCTCAGGTGTACCTGGGTCGATGGCGTATCGCAAACTGCTCTTATCAAAGCCGTGGGATCTTCCAAGTTCCATGATGTGTCAGCATCTCATTTCCATGTTCAGGTCTTCCTTGTTCTCTTGTTTCCTTCAGGCATATAAATCTACTGTTACTGTACATTTTATCATTAGTCTTAATTGTTTCCTTTGTGTGTCTAATTAAATTTAAGTGTGGGGTACATAAAAATAATAAGTGTCTAGAACTGGTATTCTATTGGTACACTTGTATTTATTACTTGAATCACACACACTGTACCACTGTTAATTAATGTTTGTAGTACACACACTCAGCTTTTATCATGCATTCTAAAACAGTGACAACCGTATGCTGTTTTAAAAATTATAGATTTGTCAACCATATGCTTTTACCAAGCACAGCACATAATAAGAAAAACATTGTATGAACCGTATGGTTGATGTAGAAAAAATCAATTAAAGGGACCAGCAGTCCGATTACAGAATAAGAACATAGGAAAATCTAAAAAGGACTGCCTCTAGTAAAGGACCACCATTGACAACTATTTCCTCATCCCAGCAAAGAAAATCCTATTTTGGAGTTAAAATCTATTAAAGAGACAATTCTATATAGAAAACTATGTTTTCTCACAAGTGTGGTCCCTTATTAGTTTCAACTTGATTATTTACACATGGTGGCCCAATAGTAACGATACTATGGCCAACTATAAAACTATAAAAATGTAACATTATTTTAACAAGCAAAACAAATCATAAACAAATAAAAAAAAAATGAAAGAAATAATAAAAAGATATGAAAATAATGTTCAATTGTTTAAAGAATACCTTTAACATAAATGTGAATGTCTTCCTCAGTGTGTGAATGAAACAAGAACATCAATGAATGGCTTACAATGATGAATACTACATTGGTGGCAATTCACACACAGCATTATGGGATGAGAAACCAGGAAGTTTAAGCAAAAAATTAATGAAACAACCAACTTAAGGAAATGATGGGCCATCAAGACAGGAACTCAATCTGTTTATTTTACAAGCAAAAACATGGTCTTGAAATATATAAAACATACAAACATGATGTGTGGCTTGACCTCTTAATAGCGCAGAAGTTTTATGAGTATCAGCGTAAATAACTAATTATTTTGTGGTTAAGTTCGGAATGGAAATTTTCTTGTACGATTGTTTATGGAACATGAAAGCAAAAGAACAAAAGTATGAATTGGAAAGAGATTCTTAACAATCGCAAATTATGATCAATAAAGATAAAATCTGTATATATGCTAACTGATTAGTTATCGGTCATGAGTTCGAGATTCTACTTTATAAGGATGTGGTGTTTGGAGAATATGCAGAAACAGAAAATCAAAATACTAAGATAATCTAAGGTGTTGTTCGATGTAAATACATATGTCAGTCTGGATGAAGGTACTACAGTACCATATTTTAAAGCTTATAATTGCAGTGCACTATTTACAGGTTGACTAGATACTCGTATTACACAGTGTTCCCGAGAGAAGCTAATAAAAAATGCATTCTCGTAGAAATCATAACTTTATTAGTGTCAATTAAATATGATGGCATCCCAGACAGCACTGTAAGACTCGGGATGATACCGTACATGGAATAATTTGAATGAAATGCACTCTATTATACACTGTACTGTATTAGTGTAAATCTGGCATCCTAGGCAAGGATGCCTGTAGTTCGGGACAATACCGTACATGGAATAATTTGAATGAAATGTACTATATTATAAATTGTACTGTATTAGTGTTAATTGTATATGTGGGCATCCGAGAGAGAGCGCGGTAAGATTCCGCCTGCAGTTCGGGACATACCGTACATGAATAGTAAACATTGGCCATGATGATTTTGGTGTCAAAAAATGTAACTAATTTCACTTTGGAGATTAAACTGAAATCTTGTGAATAATGGTAAAATTTAGATATGAATCCTGATCTGGCAGCATTGTATTACAGTGAGAGATAACTTGCCCCACATTTGAGAGTTTGATAATTGAAAAAAAGGATATCCACAAGTAATATTGGAATTTCCCCCCCAATGAAGTAGTAGGAATGAATTTTGGAATATACATTTGCCAATTCAAGGCAAATAAACAAGATTTCAATCATAACATGTGACAAATTATCATGAAATAATTCTTTTAATCATTGGAATAAAATATGGTACAAATTTTAAAAAGAGCCGATTATATTATGTTGTCCCGAACATGCATAAAAGTGCAGTTGAAACTAAATTACAATTTTTTAATATTATTTTTTTACAGATGATCATAACAAGCCATAAAAACAAGAGGTTTTCTACACAAAAATGGTAGGTACACTAGGCCATACACTTAAGGTTTTAATTTATTTTCACAGTCTGCAATACTAAAGTTGCTGTCAGGCCTATCTCCCGAGGGCCATATTGAAGTCATTAACTTACCTTATCTATGTACTTAATATTTATAAACTCAATATTTTATAACATATATATTTTTTTTAACTTTTTGACCATCGCATAAAATTTGATTTCTTGATTTATTTAGTGATGTACTTACAATTTGGTGGCAGCATCAGTTATGTTCTCGTCCCCTTCAATTCTGTACACCTTCCCATACATTACATATTCAAAACTCTCTGCCCTCGTTGGAGTACCGTCGTCAATCGGCGCATACTCGCCGTCATCAGGATATCCATCTTCTCTCAAAGTGGTCGCTAAAACCAATCGGAATTTATCTCCTGAAAGAAAGAAGGATATGGATGTTTAAAATCAAACTTCCTTTTTGTAATCAAGAAGCCAGGAAGTTGGTGGTTACATAATGTTCTTTCATTTCATATTAAAAAAAAAGTTGCAATCAAGGTATCTAGTAATGAAACATAGTTTATAGACAGGGGGACACCAGTGAGGAAGCAGGTCCACAGTCTGGGAAAACTGGCCCCAAGGTCAAGGGTCAGAAGAAAAAACACAATTCGTCTTGGAGAAAAAAATAATATGTATTTTTAACATATTAGTACTCAAACTCTTTTTGGTCATTGGGGACATCGTCGCGGCTGTTTATAGAGCATTACTATCATCTTATAATTGATTTAGTCACCTTCACAAACATGCTTAAAATATGTTAAAATGCAAACTCATGTGTAATATACAATTAAATCATTATTTTAAAATGTTAAGGAAGTGGTTAATACTAATAACTCATGATGAGACAATAACATAGATGGAAAAAACAAAAGAAGAGCAAAAAAGAAAAACAAAATACACAAAATAGAATCCATGCTAGTTCTAACTCTCCTCAGGACTATATTGCTAGTCATCATACTCTTGTAGAATGTAATCTTCACTAATAGATGGCCAAGATTGATTTAATGTAAAAAAAAAATGTAATAGGTGTAGATTATTCTGTTTCTGCTTTCTATAGTACAGTAGTAGTAATTAGTATCTTTTTGCATTTATATTATGAATGAATGAATGAATGGACAGAGTTTTAATTAAACCACAAGCATTAAACCACTTCAACTGACTTCACAGTACAGACAAAAAAAACCCACAGTGGTAAAAGCCAATGAACTTGCAAACATTACCAAAAAAATTATGATGATAATATAATCTACAGTACATGTGTTGTACAAACAACAGCTTTTGCCAGATGGGTTTAGTTGCACGCACAAACCACAGACTTAAAAAAAAAAAAAGCCTCAAATATTCAATCAACCGTTTATCACAAACCATCAGTAGGTGTAAGAAAGAACTGTTTTTTTTAAAATACACATATTTAGATATGTTCATCGTAGAATATTGGAAGTGTTCTATTACATTAAGTCATGGATAATATTAAACATTATTTCCTAATGCAGATTTACTGTGTTTTACTGTAACTCACACAACAACAAATCGCATCAGACTGCGTCACCAACGCTTTCTGAGTGGGCCTTTAGCGCTGGTCGAGAAATTGCTAACGAAACGCCACACTACCTCTCAGATTTTCTTAAAACTCACAAGATATGCATCAGTATTTAAATTTTTTATTTTATTTATTTATTTAATTCGCATCCAGCAGCATTAACTCGCCCATTACATGATGGATGATGCTTTATAAACCAAGTCTCCTTAAGAAAGCTGCTTAGAGAGTGAAGTAATGAGTGCTGCCATCACATGAATTGAAACCTAAAATACAAAACATTCATTATTTGTTTTATAACACACCTAAATAGATCGGATCGGGTTAGTCCTAGCTGCTAGCCTGGCCTAGGCCTATCCTCCGCGCAAAACCTAGGGCTAGACTAGAAATCCATCAGTGCATTTCAAAAAATAAGAGCAGAATTCCACACAGATTTTGCGCAAGTTTCAGCTAGTTATTGAGGTATCACCGTGCATTAAAATACTTTACAGCTGTTTACAGTAAACACAATCTCCGACATATTGCACACTGTTTAGACAAGTTCAGCAAGAAGTAGGCCTGAGAAAGGTTATAGGTGGCGTGTCATCATTTCATGGATTTAACCCTCCGGAAAATGTCAGTCCAACGTCTTTTTAACCAATCAAAAGATTGTATTAGGTTTAGGTCATGTCGTATCTATAGGTAACATGCAATGGATGATTTGGATGGGAAAAAAATGCATGTTGGAACAAAATTTCAATGATGAGTGATGAAATGGGTAAAATAACTAATGGCACGCGGTACAAAATCAACCAATCAAGTGACTGAGATCAAATCAGCTTGTATTCCTTTATAAAGTTATGAACAAAAAAATCAAAATCAAGCCAGATATCTGTTTGCCAAAGGTAAATAGACCACGTAGGATCCATAGTGCTCAACTTTTTTGAAATTGCTGCCAAAACTAATATTTATATCAACTTGTTCCTACCAAAAACAGTTCGAAAATGGAACAAACTGCAGTGGAAGCACCCAACTAGGATAAATTTTAAAAACTTATCTCAAACTACAGTAAGCCACTCCCCCAAAGCCTCTTTGTCAGACTTCCAAGTGGAGTATTCAAGAGGATAACCACCAAGTACCAAGTATTTAGCTGTGTGATAACATTTTAATATGTTATGTTAATTTATAAGATTGTTTTCCCATTTTTTATGACAGATGGTATAGTATTTTCTACATTTATCCTTTGTTATGAGAAACAAGTAAACTGAATATACAGCATGGATCATGTCTCCTATTCTTGAGGAGTTTTACCAATGAAAATGCCTTTAATGATTCAATGCAAGATTATTCAGTATGTCAACTTCAATTCATTATGTAGAAAGACAAAACCTATTCTAAAATGGTCGTAAAATTGGTTGCTGCACAACGTAGGTGACATACTTTGTAGCGATGGATCTAAAATCACCTGATACATCACATGATGCATGTCCTTGTCCCCAATTGGACTTGTAGCATGGTAGTAGCAATGTGTTCCCCGCCTTGCAAAAAATGCTGTGGTTCAACCCCCACAGGATTGTTCTTAAGGATAGTGACATAAAACAATTCGAGGGGAATACAAATTTTGAACTGAAATTTTAATTAATCCATCAATCATTCCATTTATATTGCGCTATTCCAACCGTCGTTCCTCGTGGTGCCGTTTCAAAAAAATGTTTGTATGAATGCAAACAGTTACTAAATATATAATTGCATTTAAATGATTTGTTTCAATTAATTTGGTGTTATTGGCAAACAACCTCAACTAAAAGTGACCAAATTTTAATATATTTTTAATACAGTGTGGCCCTTAACACTTACCTAAAGAGCCGCTGATTGTTCAGATGATGAAATATTGTATATTTATGGCACACCAGTAAATACTGGTAACTATAAATACCCCCTAGTACAAGTGACAGTCAACAAATATCCAAAAAAAATTCCCCTAAAATATACTCGCTGAATAAAGATTTAGCCATATCGATTAGTATAGTACCAAACAAACTGACTTCATACCCGTCTATATAAGTAAGAATCCTTCATCATAATCAGTTGTTGTTAATGTACTCCATCACCGATTACTTGAGTAACTATACTAAACTAAATACCAGACAATAAGTAATGGATTACTACAATTAAAAATTGTCAATTGAGATTTTGTTAACTTTGACAGTGACAATGCAGAAAGGAATGCACCCCACAAGTATTCAAGGATTACGCAAGTGTCTTCGAAAACGCCGCACAACAAAGAGATTTGGCGCAGTTGATCATTTTACTATTTGAGACTGACGTAGGAGTCGGAAATAGAGTAAGAATGGAATTCCGATGATTTCTTTCAGGAGACAATAATCTTACCCCCTGTATCAAATGCAGTAAAAAAATAATATAATGGTCTATTGAATTTATGAGCTTAAAATGGAATGATGTTTATCCTGTGACTAATAGAAACTTCACACACTTACAAGTCTTTAATAATACGTACAGTGTTGTAATGTTGCGACTGAATGTTTATAATGAATTGTATATTTAGATAAGTCAACGCAATTCTGCTATTTTCATCCAAAATTATTTTTTTAGATTCAAATTACATTTAGTTAAATGATTTTAATTTGTAATGAGAACTTTTTAAAAATAAAACCAAACATGAGTACACTTCAGTAAATTAAAACAAAAAATGTTAGTAATTTTATTTGGAAGCCTCAAGAGTATCCTGTAATAAAAAAAAAAAAATGGCAGAGGAAGACTAAACAAAAGCAGGATAAGAATCAGAAAGATGGAAAAAATATCAGCAAAATCAACCAAAGAGACAAGCTTAACAGTTACTATTAAAAACCTATTAAAATTCATAGATAAGACCTACCATTCCTCCCCGACCAACTTGCTACATTGTACAATGAGTTTCTGCTGCAACCAGGCTGAAAACACACCCGCAAGGAAAAAGCATTTAAACCTGGCTAAATATCAGTGCATCAGTGCTGGGCTTCAACTGGTACGATCTGCTCGGACACCAGCTGGAGAACAACTCCAGTGATAAGCAGACTTTTCATTTTATCACAGAGAAGGTCTCAGTTTTCAGAAGAACAAAGCCAATAAGAATAAAACTCTCAATACAGACTCGGTTCTTATATCCCATTCCACTCATATCAAAACCAGTAGATGACTTTTCTTTTCGGAAGAACAAGTTTTAATGCCTTTGTTCATTCACACAAAAAATTCTCTATCTGTAAAAATTAATATTTAAGTAGACTGGTTTCACTTATCAAACAATTTTGCTGAACTTATCCAAGTTTGTATCACTGTAAAGGGTATGGAAAGCAGAACCTACACAAGGAAGTTCATTTCTTTTTCTCCTCAAAAGCGTACAAAGTCTAAATATAAAATTATGTTCACTCAAGTGTTCTTCATTTTCTCCTCATTAGCATATCGGTACCGGTCGTTGCCATTCACAAAAATGTGAATTTTATCTTCAAATATCAACAATGAAAATTGTATTAGCCCCAGAGGACAATGGCTGCCACAGCTCGGTGCCTACAGTAGCTACATGGTCACTACACCAGGAGACAGCTCCTACTCTTTTCAAAATATCATACAGTAATTTTTTCCATGAACATTCTATTATGCACACACATGCACCAGCTTAAAGTTAAATCCGAAGGATGAGGGAATTACAGTAGAGCAAACAGTCTTAATAAGGGATAACCTAGCCTCTCAAGCACCAATGTCCAATCTCTTTATCGCTGTGTAAAGTCTCCATTCAAACTGTGCTGGCCCACCATTATATTCCTACATAAAAAATTTTCATCGGATGTTAAAAGATTTTTGTAATTTTATTTCCTTAAAAGAAAAGTAAAATTAGAAAATTTTTTAGTTTTAGTTTCTCTGCAGCACTATACAAAGTTTAAAACAGAAAATTTCAATTTTATAATATGCTATATTATGGAGTATGCTCCATAATATAGCAATGGAGTATGCTCCATAGTATGTAATTTGTGAATTTTAAAAATCTTTTTCTGTATAATTTTAATTGTATTGTACACAGTATGTGGATTAGTAAGTTTATTAAGACTATAATTAGTTTATGGCATTTCATTGGTTAAATCCAAACCTAGATCAGAGTTCACTGGCCATACCATATTTGGAGTGTGCAAACTAATTGTGAAAAGTTTGTTTTGTATGCAGTAAAAAAAAAATTAAATAAATTTAGCTATAGGTTGGAGATTATGATGACTGTTTTATATCCAGTGCAATCTACAGTCATTAGGCTTTGAGTTTAATAATTAACAAATAGTGGCAATGCTGGGGGGGGGGGGGAGCTGGCAATGGAGAACCTTACCGAAGTGGAAGGTTCCCTTACCTATTTTGAGCTAGAGGGCCATGCTTACTGAGACATCCGTAGTTTGAGCAATTTTAATCATTTTTATCTAACTGATTTTGCACTTGGTTAAGATAGGTAAGTGGTGGAGAGAGGGGTGCGGGTGAAAGTTCTCCTTTTACCACGCCCAGAATCTGCCACTAAAAAAAAGAACCAGCATTTTCAAGTGTGAAGCTTAGCAGTTGTCCATGTCCTACTAGGGCAACAATCAATAACCAAATTGTCAATGCCTATCTCCACCCAAAAGTATATTAAGTGAGTACTGATTGGTTTGAATACCTTGATTACTCTGCACAATATGGATTAATCTCCAAATAAGTCAAGAGTAAAGTGTATGCTTGGCATAATGAACTAAACTTGCTTAAGGTTCGGGTCACTGTATTTGGTATGAATTTTAAACACATTAGTGTTAGCCTTCAAATTAAAGTTTAAAAATACATTGCATAAATATTTTACCATCATTACATCTTCGTATCACAAATTATCGGCGATTGGATAAATAAACATTGTTCATTATTACAATTTGAGAGAAAGCCTTGGCAAAGATAGGATGGCATACTTCTATTATAGCTCTGTACTGTACCCATTGTGACGCTAAAATTGTATTTAGTCTATGAAGCAAGTTTTGTAAATCATTAACACAATCTAAACACTGTATTTGTGACATTACTGTTATAAACTAAAGAAAAAACTGAATGAGATAACATGCAACCAATCTTCTTTAGTGATCATGAATAATTGTTCTCTTTTATCATTTAAACTTATCGCGACATTAACATACTTCAGGGTAAGCAAATGTAGCGATTCAATTGATAGAATTTAGCAATAGAGCGCACCTCTAGTATTATTATTGATAATTATCATAAATTCCCAAGATTGTGATAATTAAATATTAATAATAATTAGCACAAACTTTCAAGTATGTCATAATTATTAATAAGTCAGGACTGCATAGTTTATCATGCCAATAATATTATTAACAATAACCACAATTTTCAAGCATAACTTTGCTGCCCTTTTAAAAGTTGATGATCACTCCTTTGTTTGGGATGCGCACAATAAACTCACCAAACTCGACTGGATACAGCTGCGTGTTCACGTCAAGAATGAGGTCCATCTTGAAGCTTTCACTCTCACAAAACAAACGCGAAACTAAAAACAGAAACAAAAAAGAAAAGATGAAACAATAGTAAAAACAAAACAAGGATGTAATATACACAAAATCCACATGTATATATAATAAATTATGTATTAATCAATGACAATTGCTACAGTACTAACACTACCTCTGCTCAGACTAGCCCATGCCCTGCACTATAAACCTTGGATTTATTATTATCAGCTTTGGTAACACGCTGTTTTGTTCTAAAATTCTTAATAATTTGTGTCCTTCAACATTCACATTATTTGTTCATACAAGTGGACGTTGAGGGCAGGCTTATTCACTGGAAAGCCAAAAGCAATGTTTCTCAACTCTGTTTTGTGTCATTTTTTTCTGGGAAGAACTGCCTCCCTTAAGCTGGTTTTCAACTAGGCAAATTAATTCATGCAAATCAAAGCGTAGGTTCACTTCCTGAGTTCTGATTGGTTGTCCTTTCTTTCGCTAGCAAAAACTCTGATAGAAATGTGAATGCGCATGTGCTGCCGCTTTCAATTCGCGCGAATAAATTCGTCAAGTGGAGAACAGGCTTTACAATAGTTCAAAAATTTATTAACATTTCCTATTTTAAGAATGATTTAGTTAAGCATCTTGTTTTTATTTTTTTGATTAAATTTTTCTAATTTGTAGGCCTACTACTGTATTGCATAATGAAGGATAGGAAGCCAATGATGTTTGGGATTTCATTCACCCAATTTCCTATCTGGGCAAACCATGTTGTTTCATTTCTGTGTATTTGCCAAATAAATATATTAACAATATAGCAATAATATCATTCAGTGAAACATCTGTCAAATAAAAAAAGTTTAAATAAAAAACAATGTTGTTTAAAATGATAGAAGCATTTTTCACAATCAATGAAGAATTCTACTTTTTTGCAATAATATGCATTGGTGGTATTGAAAATAGACCTTCCTGTCAACAGGTTTGACAAGCATGAAAGACGGAATCAAACAATATCACTCAAGTTGAAGCATTACCTTAAATAAATCATTACTTTAAGAAACTCCTAGAAAAAAAGTGACAATTAGGATTAAAACTGACTCTTGAATAGAAACCATACCATAAAACTTACCATTTTATTTAAAAAGGACTTGGAAATCTTGGGATCACACTTACTCACACTGTCTTCAGATCATAAAGAAAATTTGCTTTGCACGTGCAACCAGGAGGTTACCCATTCCCCCATGCTTTAAAACAAGTCTTGACAAGTTTGAGAATAAAGCTCTCCCATTGGTCAATTAGTTGCACAAAGGAGGACCAAATGACAGCAAACAACACTCTCTAGGCAAGCTTTTTATTGATAAGATAATGACCTCACAGGGTCAACCCCACTGTAGCCAAGCTATGACCCTAAACAGTACCAGGTACACAAATCTACTAAATAATAACAAAGTTGGTTACAAACAAAAGAAGGTACTTTGCATCGTTCTATACAAAAAAGAAGGTACATAGTGTTACTATTTATGCCTATATATAATTTAATAATAATACCACAAGACATGATTATTCAATATACCAGAGAGATATGCATTGCCATCATTAACCATGTCACCCTAAAACATTTGTAGTATAGAAGTTTGTATTACTGGAGTTTATATTGGAATAACAACTCCCTATTTCTGCCACTACAAAATAAAGTACAATATGCAATGCTGGCCATAGACAAGTTCAGACATGTACTAGTTACTATGGTAACAGTGCAGCACAATAAACATGATAAATCCTAATAGGTTACATCATGCATATCTCCTTGCTTCACTACAGTTTTTATAGGATGATGCAATAATAACTTAAACTTAGAATAAAATTACAATTTTTATGACAGATCACAAAACAGCACATAATATATTTTGTCCTAACATTCTTTGAGTGTTTCTAATTATTATTATTATTCTTATTATAGTTTTATTTTATTACTATTTCTGTCTGCAAAGTAATTCATAAGGATGCAAGTTCTATCCAGGTAAGCTGAATTTCTGGTGGGGGACGACAAGAACAGGGTGGTATGGTTTGGGGTGGGGGTGACGAGGATTTATACGTTCTCATTTAAACAAAATAGGAAAATTGTTTTAAATAAAGAATACTGCTAGTAGAATATATTACTATATGCTAAATTAAACTAAAAAAGTTTTTCCCTCTTTCTTCTTCATTTATTTAAATACTACCTATTAATTTTCATTTATTTAAAATGGGATACTACAGTATCTATTAATTCATACACTTGACTCATAAATATTAATACTAGCACCCTGCCAGACCATGAACTATTCCTAAACCACAAACTTCAACATTCACCATATAAAACAGATACTGTTGGTAAGCTGTGTGAGCAAACATCCAATAATGCTGATTGTCCCACTAATAATATGATTTTGCTCTGATTAGGATCTGAGAGGGCCCTTGTGTTGTAGCTTTTGTTTGTACATTAAAATGGTCGCACAATATTACTTAAATTTAAATACAACATTAATGAAAATTGCAATTGTCTATGGGTATGAAAGGAGAGGATAAAAAGCATCTGATTTTGAAGCATAAAAAGGGTCCCTTCAATATCATTATAGTTCTTAATTATTTACTTCACTACTTCCTGTAATGCTAAGCTCAGTATTTTCATAAAAGAATAACAAACTAAATAATTAACATGATGAAGTAAAACCAAGAGTATGATGTACTGCTTTCACTTTAGTTTTGATATTAACAATCAAAATTACAACTAAACCAAAAGATATCAAACAATATTTTAAAATAATTACTTCCTTGTACAGTTACGTTAGTTCAATTTAGCTGAATTCTTGGTCAATACAGTTATCCTCTAATTTATTAAATATAGAGCTCCCTGTTCACTTCCCCTAGATTATTAAGCATATCTCTTTATATGGCATAATATATACATTTTTTGTTGCTTTGAAATTCCCTGCCTACTAATACCTGCAATTCTCCTTCTGTCAGAAATTTATAGATTGTCTTAAAATTATTTCTGTTGCTTGGTTGACACAGCATCTTATCAACTTTGTACTTGTGGGTTTTGCCAGCCGTCAAATCGTTTGGTCAAGTGTACTAATAGAATCAGAGAGTTCAGATTTCTTTTTTATTGTTTCCTTCCTTCTCATTTTTGTCAACAAGATATGTAAAAAAATATATATTTCATTGACAAAATGTAATTAAGGTATACTTAAATAAAAAAAAACAAACTATTGTATTAAATCTATGCATTAACACCTTCTGAAGCAATAAATAACAATTATTCTAGAATTTCAAAAACTTGAATAAATTAATTTGGACAAACAATTAACAATGATGATAATAAGAAAACAACAATAATAATAATATTAACAATTGTTTTTTATCAATTAAGTGAATCTGATATTCAATAACAATAATAGCATAAATAAATAATAGTAGTACTGTAGTTCAAGATTCTAGATAATTATATTTTCAAATATTTGGAAATTCTGTTTGGTGTAACCACTTTGATACATACATACTGTATGTACAAAAATATAATTTAAACATTGAAAATATAACAAGAAAAGCAAAAAGTTAACCAATGTAAATATGGAAAAAAGATATGGCCTATGTATATACAGTAAATAAATACAGTTAAAGAGACAATTGATAAACATATTTGGACACGAGTTGTAATATCTTATTGCAAAAGGTATGAATAAGTTGAGGAATTTTGAGGTACATTGTAATCTCTATCCTGAGTATAGCCATTTAAATTCATTAAAAAGTGGGTGGTTTCTATCTTCTAATATTGTAATAGTTTTCTTATAAATTCCTTGATAGCATAGGTCTTCAAGATAGACCTAATAATAGCAATAATAATATTAATAATAATAATAATAATCATAATAAATACTAATAATAATCATAATAAATACTAATAATAATAATAATAATAATAATAATAATAATAATAATAATAATAATAATAATAATAATAATAATTTGAAAATATAAATAACTAGATGTTCAGTATAGTGATCAGATAGGTAAGTGTAAATTTCGAACAAATCATAGAGTTTTAAGCCTCCTAATATTTAATGGTATGCTCCATTCAAAAGCTAGGACAGGGCAAGGATCACCGGGGCAATGCTTCTTATCATTATTATAAATATTATAGGATGCCTTAGTCATTCTCAATTTTAGGGCAGACATTATTATGAAAGAAGAAACGACTACAGCAAATGCCTGTATTCTGAAATGATGTGTTCACAACCACAAATTGGCCAATCAAATGCCTAAGCTAAATGCACCAATAAAGACACGTACAAGTCAATACAGCAACAATAATAGCCAATCAGAAAATGATACTAAAGATTTGAGCAACCAATGCTCTCTGGACAAGTGGGCTGAGTGGTAAATGACATCATTTCTATTTTTAGAGATTACATCATTAGAGGAAATGCAATTGGTAATTTCCATACAGAAAAAAATAAACGCTCATTAAGCATCGCTTGAAAAATGCAACCCTGGCTTGTTTGGATAAACAATAAACTGCAAACAGGGGGATCATCTTTGTAACATCATTATTACTGTAAAAAATAAACAACAATTATAATACTGATACGTATAAGCCTTGTATTATAGAATCCACTGATTCAATTATAAATATACAACAGTCTACAGACAAAAAATGCAACCAAGGCAGTGCCACAATACTTTTGAGGGAATATAATTTGATAATTATTGAGAAACTAACAGATGAAAAAAAATATATATAAAATTTTATAGTAGTTTTAAACTTTCTAGAAGAAATTTCATGTCAGTGTTTCTGGTTGATATTCACAACATGTATAAATCTGTGGACAAAATTAAACTAATAATTTGATGGTTATTTCAATCCTCAACCCACGCATGACATTTAAGCAAAAGCATTTTTAAAATTAATCGTGACAACCCAGGCCTGGCCTAGTGTATGGTGAAAAAATGTGGGGCTTTGTATTAGTCTATGGCTGCCAGAATCTAAAGTAAGGTCTGCATGGGGAATATATCCTCCACGCAAAAATTTGGTCTAGAAATCTGTGCGCACATTTTGGAAGATAAGGGCCGATTTCCGCACAGATTTTGCTAAAAATTAGGCTTTGGACTAAATACTAACCAATGTATTTTTATGCAGCAAATCTGATTCTGTGCAGCTATTTTCCTTGCGATATTTTCCTTGCAAATTTAAGCTAGTTTTTGAGGTATCATCTGTGCAACTATTAAAACAGACTTTACAATATGGCATGGCTGTGCACTCAGGGGTCAGGAGGGCTTCATTCCTCTGAATCTTCTTTAAAATCCAACTACGATTTGGAATAAAATTGGTAGTGCTGCATTATAACAAGAAACATTATTTCCTAGGGAGTGGAGGTGGTTGCAAAGAGAGTATAGTACAGTATGAATAATTCTGTACAGTGTCATTGAGATCGGGGAAAAAATCACTAAGGAATTCCTTCTGAAATGAATGCGAGAAAACCTTGGTATGTGCACTTACATAAAATCAGTGGCAGATCCAGGGATGGTGTAAAAGGGGTGGCAAAGTAGCACCCCCACTCCCCCCCCCCCCACAACACATCAGTAGCCAAAAAATTATATATCATTACGATTTATATAAGAGATTAAATGGCAAAATCGTCGAAGCTTCCAGGGTATACAGTATCCCCACAGTATGTAAGGGTACCGTATCCAACCAGTTTGTCAAAACCCAGTTTGTTAAAACCTAGTTTCCCGAGTCCATGGCCACTTTGCCACAACCCAGTTTGCCAAAACCAGTTGACCGACATAATGACAAACCAGTTTGCCGAATTGTGCTTTCAACATCATACAAAAGCAAAGCATACTGTGCCTCCACTGGCATGTGTGTTTACTTGGAGATTATTATTTTATTTATTTCCTTTATGTCTACATATCATTATCTTAATTAAACTTTATATATTATATGCTTGTTAAGTCATTTATCTGATAGGACTATTTAATTTTTTTTTTTTTTTGCTGATGATAGCCTAATTATTAGTCAAGTTTGATTTACAGAATGAGACAAAAAAATCATTAAACTACAATAAGTTGCTATTTATTATACAAATACAGTGATCGCATTGTGTTGAATGGCTTCTAAATTCTCAATGTCTCAATTTTGGCTGGTCCTGACTTTCCGCTGGCACCCCCACTACGTACAGATTCAGTCATAATAAGAGAGTGCTCCATCATGAATTTTAAGCTGTTTTTAATGTTTCACTGCACCATCACGGTTTTTTGAGTCTACACACCACTGGCATTCGGCAAACCGGGTATCAGCAAATTGGACATGGCAGTCTGGCATTAGCCAAACAGGGCGCATGGGTTCCGCATCCTTCAGATAGATTGCTACTTGCATCACAACAAAAAAAAATATGGTAACTACCTAACCCCCTCCACAAGGCTAGATTAAGGTAGGCTTAAGTCATAAGGTAGCCCGCCCTATCCAAGCCAAGGCCCACGGTGTCGGTAGGTTAGGCCCTCTAGAGGCCTAGCTACTCTTGGCAGTGTAGTGAGACTGGGCCTTATTTAGTAAAATAAATTAGTAATTATCATAAAAAATAAACATGACTGATAACATAGACAAATTAAACCAGCTAATAATTAATTTAGTGGGCCAATGCTACGATCAGGGAAAATACAAGGTGGTTAGGGCTAGGCTAGGCCTACATAAACTTCAAAGTTTCTATTGCTTACAGAGACCGCGTTCGCCGCCGTTACCGGTCTTATTTATCATAGCGTAACTGGCGTAAAGATGGCGGCGCCCATGACAAAAACATGTTGGGTTCGTTCGGAATGCAGTGATACAATTTCAGGGTGATCTATGGGCACAATTTTGTACTAAAATAAATAAATAATATATTTCATCTACCTCTGTCAAATTTAACACCATCAGGATCAATATCCTTCACGTCAAAAATATCTTCAAATAAAACACCAGACATGTTTAGACGAGAACCGATGTTTATAAAAAGTAACAATCATTACTATGGAACGCAAAAAGGGCAGCATAAGTAGCAGTGCATGAATGATTACGAACCACCGGCGCAAAATTTTACTACAGTATACACAGAAAAAATATATTGTAATTCTCTTAGAAAAATTACATCAAATTATATAATCTGAATTTCAGCAGTTGTGAAAATAAACCGTGTGCTAATTATTAATACATCATAAAAGAGATGGGTTCCATCTCCATCACTCCTGTACAGGGCACCAAATAATAATAATAATAATAATAATAATAATAATAATAATAATAATAATAATAATAATAATAATAATAATAAGTTGTACTTTAATATAGCGCGACAATGCGAAGCTTCAATGTGCTTTACAACCACACACACTCTCACACAAAACACTAAAGCAAAGTGAGAAGAAGAGGGCAATGAAAGAAAAAGATGAGTTTTTAGTAAAGCCTTTACTCTATTGTGGAAGCTTGCTTCATGTGTTCAGGCAATTCATTCCAAAGAGTAAAAGAAGCGAAAGAAAACGATCATTGATCATAAGATAGTGTATGGAAGACACTGTGATGAGGAGCGTAATCTGCGTGAACGATTAAAAATTGATAAGTTGCCTTATGTAAGTTGGAGCACCAGTGAAGATGATTTCTTTTATTGACTGGTAGCCAATCACGGATGTCAGGTATTATTACGTGATATGGTTTACTTCGGGTTACGATGCGAGCAGTGACGTTCTGACCCTTTGGAGTTTAAGCAGTTCAGACATAGACATATGTAGACATAATGCTTGTTTTTGTCTTAATTTAACTACTTGACGGAAGTACTCATACGCAAAAAAAGTGGGTTCCTTTGCAACATTTTGTGGGCAGAAAAGCTGGGGTGGATGCAGGCGGTGCGATAGAACCCACCTAAATTGTATTAAAAGAATAGTGTTGAATTGTTGATGTATTACCGGTAACATTTTAAAGGTATGACAGTGCAATTTCCGGGCCCTAGAGGTCCATATTCGCAAAATGTTCTCATCTCAGCCCCAGCTGAGGTGGTGTGGACTCTCATGCACCCCGTACCGTCAAAATCCTGCATCCGCCCAAGAAAAGGCTGAAGTGTTTTTAGACTGCGTACACTTTCAAAATTTACTATAAATAAAACATAAAGTAACAAAAATAAATATAGTTATTTTATGTTTTAACAAGACAATCAATTAAAATAATTTTATTGTTTAACCGTGGACCTATTAATAAGATCTTAATCTTATTAATTCAACCATGGACCTATTAATAAGATCTAATCTTATTAATAGGTCCATGGTTCAACGACACAGTATTTCATCTCCACACATCATATAGAGGGCGGCAAACTACAATATTACATTATTTTAAATGATTAGTAACTTTAGTATGGAGATAAACCTCACTGATGATAGTTATCATTTATAGTGTATAACGCACCCTAAAAACAACAAAGAAATAGTGACCCATGCTTTCAATCAGAAGTTACAGTATCCTAGTTTTATAGCCCTTTAAAATTTATTGGTACTGTAATTAATTGCTATCAATGGAGTTTCGTAATTCAAAAAAAAAATAAATAAATAAAAAATCCCTGTGCCGAACCACGGAGCTGGACTTTATCCCTAGTTTCAGAAGCAGATGAGCGTGTGATACTCCCTTTCGATGGGACGATAGTTTCGAAGTAGTAAAACCTTATCTGATGTGTGCTGTATGAAACTACGGTATTTGATCCCTTTGTAAATAAGCTATTTACAGTTTGTACTTGGGGTTTTCCAGAGGATTTTCCAAATATTTTTCAATTCAATTATATTCAAAATATCTCCAAAAAAGGAAAAGAAAGGAATTAAAGGCATCCATATTTATGACAGATTGTATATATTTAATTATTTATAATAATAACTATAACAATAACACCAATTATATTAACTGACTTCTCTTAATATATCATTAATATATGATTGAAATTAGACAAGATTCCAAATGTGCAAAATAAATAATATAAATTAAATATCAAACAATACAGTAAAAGCAAACCAAAACAAGTTTATTGAAATATAATTTTGCTTTATTATAACTTTGATTAGTTCACAAAATGAAAACAATTTGAAAATTTTGAATTAAATAACATGATCAAAATATTACAATTATGTTGATTGATATGGAACGCTATTAGTGCCTTTAGTGCTAATGCATAATGAATTAGTACATCATGATTTTGCACAAAAGGCACTAAAGGCGTCCCATAGATTGATGTACAAATTTATAAAAAACAAAAATATGAATCTTTTGTGACAGTATGATTATTATGCATAGAAAAATAAAATAATTATAATTTTACAAATTATTTCTAAAATTTCTGGAACAAATTCCATGCTAATGTCATCCATGGTATCGAGTAAAGAACTTAAAATACATATAAAACGTTACTTATGAATGGGTAAACTGGTATTGAGTAAAGAACTTAAAATACATATAAAACATTACTTATGAATATGTAAACTTTTTGATTCATTACACACTCAAAAACATGAATCTGAAAATGACATTTGCAGGAATATGTATAATCTACAAAATGCAGTGTGGCATGCAGGGTGTATAAAACATGCTAAGACTAATCAGAAAGGGGTACACAACATACCAGAACCAATTAAGGGGACAGTGTTAGCCTTAAACTAAAACTGATAAAACAAAAATTCCATTTTTTTACTTTATCACATGATGGATTTGTTTTACCAACACAATCTAGCCTAGTCTTCTCATATACCATATTTTGGTGGGGTAGTGGGTTTGCAAGAACCCACAAAACACTCCTGATAGCATTTTCACCCACCATAATTGGTGGGGTGGGGGGAAGGTGTGGAGGAGATTTAAGACCTCACCATCTAGGCTTTTCATCCACCATGTTTTGCGGTAATGGCTGGGTGTAAAGACCCACAATGCTCTAACTTTCTCATCCAACATATTTTTAAGCAATATTACAAATAGTATACATAAAATCATAGTTAAAAATTCACACTTTCAAGTGCTAATTTTTTTAAATCACTGAGATAGACTGCCATGCTTCTACTAGCTTCGGTATTTTAGTGCTTTTTTTTAAATTATCACTTTATCATACCACATATTATTATGGCTACGATCATCATCTCTATATCTCTATCAATATTTCATATATTATATAACTGTTTTAATATAGTATCTAAAAGCATAATAAAATAAAGAAATTAGAAAACATCTTAGCAAAAATACAAATACTCTGTATCAAAACCACAAACAATTTACATTTTACTATATAGTTTAACAAGCACCAATTACTTAAATATTGTTCTCGTCGTTACAAACCACAAGTAGTTAGTGGTAGTATGCAAATAGTCTCATACAATGGTTTTGGTTAACACCAAATATCTTAAAATAACAGTCTCTACAAGTCCATTAATTTGGACACATAAATAGGATTAACCCTATGGAAGTAATACACTAAAAATGACAAAGGATTTAAAGATATACAGTGCTGTCACTCTAAAAATCAAGAACGAACTCAACAGATGAACATAAATTTTGTAATAATTTATCGTTCTATAGGTCACAAATAAAAAATAAAAAAATGTTTGCAATGGTTTTACAGATAAAAACTCATAATCTTGAAAGCTCTGATGAGGAAAGTAAAACAGAGGCATTACAACTAAAAAAGATCTATTAAACAATCAACTATTAATCAATCAGACGAGTGTTTCTAGAGCTCCTCATGAGGCAGTAGAGCTAAAAAAGATCTATTAATCAATCAGCCTAATGAGGGCAGTATAATAGAGGCAGTAGAGCTAAAAAAGATCTATTAAACAATCAACTATTAATCAATCAGCCAAGTGTTTCTAGAGCTCTTCATTGGAGCTAAAATCTAGTATTTTTAAACATCTATAATTTAGTGGGTGAAACTTCTTACTTCTTGCAAGTTTTAAACTGAATGTGTTACAGTGAATGTAAAACACGGCAGCATCAACTTCTTTGAGCTTGGCAGGGAGGATCTTGTTTGCATGTCAGAATAAACATATTATACAGACACCATCCCTAAGAAACATAGTCTGGCATAGACAAAGTAATTGGCAAGTTAACGTTTGTTTTAGGATGAGAATCAAAGTAAAAATGTTCAGCCTCCACAAATAATGATAATTCAAACAACTCAATAGTCATGGTTACAAGACTAATTATAATTAGTGTATATGAAAATTTGTTTCATCACTTGCTAATAATTATTTTGAAGATAAGTTAATTTTTTAAAATTGAAAACAAAATCAATACTGAAATGCGTGCATACTTCAGACTACTGCTTAATAATACTAACAAAAATATTAGTACAATAATAATATTATTATAATTCATGAATCAGTAAATACATGATATGATATAAGTTTAGTGAAGTCTCAATATTTGATATACATTCTTTACTTCTGGGTTAATAAAAATTATTTACACATTATATCACATAAATATTTGGCTCACAAAAAATTGTTCATAGTAAAGTACAAGTTTTTGTTCAACATGAGACAAACGGTAAAATTGTAAAATTATTTTTAACTATTCCAACCTTAAGCATCACTACATACACCCCAACCCTGTCCTCACCCTACCCCTAACCTACCCACGCCTATATTTTTTTTACAAAATTCCTATTATTTTAACCTAATGAACAAAAATGACCAGCTGTTTTTTTTTTGTTTTTTTTTTTTTTTGTGGGACCAATTGGGAGACAGTATTTTTTGGATTGGCTAGATTTCCATAAATCTTCATTCTGGCTGCATTATCCTCCAAACAAATCGTGGGTTAGGTCCTCTGTATTTTTTTTACAAAATTCCTAATTGATCTTATGCAAATGTTCAATAAAATATGTAAAACTAACAACAAAAGTCAGTACTTCAAAACTCAATGCCGGCAGTATACATATGTTTCTTTTTATGTTGTGGAAAAAGTTGTCCATTATTGATATATGTTCTATTACATAATGTAGTTTGTTTATCAACACATTATATTTGCTATAAAAAAAGTGATTTTACCTTCTGAACAATTTTTGTAAATTCTAGAGCAGGCCTTGGAGACAGACCCTGAAGGAGACGTGTACAACCATCTAGAGACCCGGCATGACCAACAATCAGGAAATTATCTGCAAGGAACAAAAATCATACTTTCAATACTTGTCTGTTAAACAAGGTATTACATGGACCTGTTAAAAAACTCCGAACATGTACTGTATGTGCATGTTAAACAACTCTGTACACCTAACAGAAAGAAAAGCAAGAGATGTCGACCAATCACCTCCAAAACGTGCAATACAATCTGTGATTTTATGTTTACTCAACTTCAATGTCTAGTGCAGTAAATATAACGATACACAATAGGCTTCATCACTAACTACCAACTCTTGAAGATTATAAAACCAACTTACTGCCATCTTTATTGTGTTTCAAGACATGCCTCATAAACAGCTCACTCCTTTTGAAGTATGAGTGACAGTTCTCCTGGAGGTTCAGCTGCTGTGCTGTAATGAATGATTTGTAGGTGGTGTCCACGTTCAAGCCAAAGGCCTTTAACTCCTCTAGAGTCATCCAGTTGGGAAGTCCACCTTTGCACCACGCCAACCACTCAAATAGAGTGATATCTACATTAATCATCACTGATGCTGGGGTCCCTAAACCTAATTAGTTAAAAAAAAATGTAATTATAATTAAGTGCCTAGCATCACTATTAAACAAAAAAATGTTTCTAGTATTACTAAAATGCAATTTGAAATACATGGGTTGAAGGAGGGACTTTCACAGATACAGGGTCTACCAACCTCCGCCCCACCATGGTTGAGGCCAACGTTTCAAAAATTATGATTTTTCATACCTCTAGATTGCCAGAAATGGCACTGAAAAACTTAATTTGAATTTAATATTTTTCACTTTGTTTTCTAATTTTAAAAAATTTAGGGGCTGGCTGGGCCCACCCTTAAATTTACCACTGATGACGGTGGAGAGATTTTGATGACAATGAATGTGACAATAATAATAATAATAATTTACTGCTGCTACCCGACATTGCTGTGCTAAATTTAAATAATAATAATAATAATAACGATTTTTAAAGCGCAAACATCACCACCAAAAATTGGTGCTCAAGGTGCAAATATTGTTTTCACTATTGTTACCTTTAAGTATAGCATCAGCTGTTTGTACACTTCTCAACGCTGGTGATGAAAACACATGGGAGATTTTAATTCCTGCATCCCGCATCGCTTCTCCTGAGAAAAATACAGATGAGCAATATGACATTTCTATAATCACTCTCATCTTAGAACAAAATAAAAAATAACTATTCCCATAATATTGATGTGAATGACAATGGATGACAAAGATTATGGTGATGGTAGTGATGATGATGCTGCTAATGATGATGATATGATGATGATGATGATGACAAAGATGATAATGATAATGATGATAATGTATAGACCAAGTCCAAGTCTTAAAAAGCAATCTTAATGTTTACTTATACAGTAATTACAGTAATTAGCAAGATCGTATCTTTTGTCTACTGCTGCTATAGCAAAGGTCTTGCGGCGCTATCCGCTGCTTGGTGCTTCAGTTGGAACTAACCAGCTGCTCAGACTAGGCCGCTGGAAGTCCCCAGTGAGTTGCAAGACGTTGGCGGCGTTGTTTCAAAATAAATCAGATAAAATGGTCTATAATGGTAATAATTTTGGAAGTTGATACTGTATATTGATAAAATTAAATTGGTGATGATGATGATAATAATAATACTAATGATAATGACGATGATAATAATACCATTGTCATTCACATCAACTTGTGCAAGTTAAACTGTATTCCAACAATATTTTCAATTTGATAATTTAAGCATCACATTTGTAACATTTGTAGCATTACTTTCTTCTCTTGACTAAATTTATTAGGTGTACAGCCACAAAAAAAAAAAAAAAAAAAAAAAAAAAAAAAAAACCAGTAAAATTAATTAATAAAATTATAAAATTAAAAAAAATATAAATAAATATAATAAATATATATATATATATATTTTTTTTCTTTTCATATTTTTTGTGGCTGTATATATTTAATTCTTACAGATTTTATTTCTTTTCTTTTCTTTTCATATTTTTTGTGGCTGTATATATTTAATTCTTACTTGTTTATAAAAACCAGACTACTTAAAACTTAATTTTTAATTTTGCATATTATTTATTTATTTTTTTTTTATTTTTATTTCTGTCATCGTATTAATAATGATTTATTAATTATTTTTAATGGTGGTCATATCTTAAAGTTTGTTTTCAAACTTATTTTGACCACCATCCACATACTTTTTTTTCCATATGAATTATACTTCTAATTTATGTATATGTGGAGAAATATTAATAAACAAAAACAAAACAAAAATGATGATGATGATGATTATGTGATGTTGATGATGGTAGTAATGATGATGATGATAATAATACTAATGATAATGATGATGATGATAATAATACTAATGATAATGATGATGATGATAACAATACTAATGATAATGATAATAATACTAATGATAATGATAACAATACTAATGATAATGATGATGATGATAATAATACTAATGATAATGATGATGATGATAACAATACTAATGATAATGATAATAATATTAATGATAATGATAATAATACGAATGATAATGATGATGATGATGATATGATGTTGATAGTAATGTTCAGGATGATGATAATGATGTTGAGGATGATGACAATTTTGTTGATTAAATGATAGTAATGGTAATAAAGATAATGACACCAGAAAATATATCAGATTAAAATGATGTTTGTATTGTACATTCAGGATCTGAATGTCAAATACTTACCTGTCATTCTTGCTTGGAACAATCCCATTTCAGTAATAGGGGAGTCATTTATGAATGATTTAGGACTCCCTGCTCTGTCAGGCACCTTCCGTGGCATATTTATATTCTTTCTTAAATACTTCCCTACAAATTTGAAAAAATAATAATTTTATAATAAAAAATAATTATACATATCTACAAACATTAACAATGGAAAAATGCACTAAACATATTATATAAAATATAATTTATGGAATTCTAAGTGCAATGGAAACAGAGTTATCTGGTTCATCATTGATCGGGACCAGAGACTGACCTGATCTAAGTAAGTATAAATACATATATCATATAAATATATTGTTATACATATATTATATAAATACATTATAATAAATACATATACTACATAAATACATCATTATATAAATACATATATTGTATAGATACATTATAATATAATCACAAAATAAAGGTACCATTTTCATCAAAGCTTAGATGAATCCATTGCTGACCAAATGAAATATCAACTCGTTCTGCATGCCTCACAACAAATAATTGCCTTGGAGTGGATTTCTTTACATTGATCGTAATCTGAAATGACATAATAATTAACATAATAGATACCATGCAGTATGGTGACATTTTATCATATACACCTAGTTAGGCAAGGCTTTTTTTATTGCTTGTCTTGCGAACTTATTTTTTTGTAAAGATCGTCAAGAGGCGGGCGGAAAAAAGATTAAAATAAAATTTTGTTTTCTTGTTTAGATGGAGGATAAAATAAAAATAAAATTTTATTGGTGAATGTAAACAGCGTAGTAATGGGATGATTAAATGCTTTAAATTTACATAAATAGGAAGAAATAAACATCTTATTTTTGGAGATTTCAAGGAAGCGGCTGGCCTAATAAATATAAAGAAAAACTTTTATATTTTCTGAAATTTCCAGCTTTTCGCTGCAGCAGATGCGCTAATTGGCCAAAAATAAAATTATATTTTTATTCTAAATTATCAA